TTTTTTTTTTTCAGCCAGATGAGCCTCATCGTCCAGAAAGATCGTAAATGCTAAGATAATCGCCAGCAAGCATTTTTGCCAGAAAAACAATCTGCACGAGACTGGCTCAAATAGTTAAAACTATTCGAACTATTTATACTTTCAAGTAGTTCTAAAATACTTTTGTACTTTTAAATAGTTCAAGTAATGTTGTTTTCGGGAAGTACTATAACTCCCGTCAGATGCCTCATGCACTCTGTATGAGACACGGAAAAGCACCTAATTCAAATTTTTTTCAAAAATCAAAAAGCTAAAATTTCTTTCCTATAAATTTTCTGTGCAAAGTGAAAGACTCGGAATTAGTCTGAGGAATAATACGTGCCATTATCAGCTAGTCGCTGGCAAGACTGTTCACGGTTGCATAAATTTTACTGATTACTTGTACGTAAGTGCTCTGCCGTCAACTTATCATCGAAACCAATACAACGAACTACAGGCAGACTAGCCGGCCCATTTGCCGGATAAAATTCCTGTCCTTTTGTACAAAAGCAGTAGTACTTATGACTATGGCATGCCCGTCAGTGCTGACATTTTTCACAAAAAATAAAACAACGTTCAAGGGGTACACTTACAAACATCTCATCTTCGGTTTTGGGCGCAGGACGGTCTTCCGGATGTGTACACGGATGAATAATGCCGTTCATATCCAGGTAAAGATTATCAAATTCCTGGAAAAACAAAGCCCTATGAAACACCTCACGCCAACTGCAGACTCTTCTATAGTTTTTAACAAATTTCTTCACACACACACACACACACCCATTCACACACATACATACACGCACATACACACACATGAATAAGCCCTGGCAAAAAACCGGAAAGGATTTCTTTTACTTGGAAATTCGGATTCGGATCCGTTGTTTTGATTGGAATAGGAACACCGTCGACATCACGCGATTTCTCCTCCACAGCATCAACGATCACGGACGGGTATTTCCGAGAGAGCCAACGGAAGAATGCCGGAACACCCATTTCCAATAAGTTAGTAAGCTGCAACGGGGCAATAATCACAAACTATAGCAAAGACAGTGGTGACACGACGCTTGAGAAGCCACGTTTTAATGCTTTTTTGAAAAACAGCTGAGATAAATTATCCAAATTCCTGCTTCTCGTCCCTCTTTTCATCTTCCTCTCTTGCGACAAAAAAAAGATAAAGTTCCACACGAACAAAAAAGGTAAGATAAGAAAACATCACGATCACATAAAGGCTATATCAAAAAAAAAAGTAAGAAGATATTACGACCCATAAAGGCTATATTCAGTTGACACATGCACTGCCGCCGAAGAGTTATTGCTAGACGAGCTCTTAACAGCAATTCTGTTACAGCTGGTTCAATTCTTTAAATATCGAGTGCAGTATGGGCCCATTTTTGCCCACAAGTGAAATTTTGTCTACTTTTTTGTGTTTTATATGTTTCGCCTAAATCTACTAATAAATGAAATGTGTTTGATTCGGGCAAGCAACGAGAGATTTGTCCAAATCAGCGAAACAAGCAAACGACACCTTCGCCAAGCAAAATGCCGATATCCAGTGGATCGAAATCCACGAAAAACCGATAAACTCAAAAGAAGAAGCAACATCGGAAGGTAAAAATCGCCTAAAGAATGAGCACCTACACAGACTGTATGAACCAGAATCGTGATACCAACCCTCACGCAAGTCTGGGCCCCCGCGTACGAGAACGTGAAAGTTTTGGCGAGAAAATCGCTAACTCCGGGAATCAGAAAAGCTAGAAAGCTGGCATTTTTCACAGAAAACGTGTCGTTTCAGGTTTCAGCAATGCGTTGTTTAACACATGACAATTCACTGAATCCAGAGTTGGTAAAGACGAGGAGTTCGATTGTCTCCCGGTTCGCAGCTATTTATACATCGATAAGCATTCTTTCGCGCTTTTTCACATCACTGACGTAGCTGGCAACTTCTTCAGTCTTCTTTACTTTTAACTTCCCAAATTTAAGCGATTCCGTAGGAGGACAATCCGGCGAATCTACCCATCTACCCGATATCCTTTTTATTGCGGATTTCACTAATAATCCGCTTTGTTTATCTTCTTGCTCATCCAAGCGGCATGAAAAAACCAAGCTTTTCTTCCCAACATACTCAGACCGCCTTGATAAAAGTGCTCACGCCAAACCGCACTGCTTCAGTGAAGATGTGCTGCAACTTGCTGACACCTACCAAGCGTTTTTCCATGGCTCACAGGGCCATCATTAATTTTCCCTCCTTTGCAGCTGCGGTATTCGGTAGAGCATAGTACAAGCGCATAGCTAGGGAAACAGAGTACGAATACAGAGAAAAGAATGGTCAAAAATAAATTTAATTGGCCAACGCACGGGCTGTCCGTGCGAAGATGCGTTTTTTGCATGGTTCCCCGCAGGTTTTGTTGCTACCGGCACCGATTTTTTCGGCAAATGCTTCTAGCTAAACAAATTAAGACTGGCCA